TGGAATAACTAAAGATGTCTTTAGGATATAGGCTAGGAATGAGACAAAGGCAAGGTCATGAGGACATGGCTTTAAAAAAATATTACTAGGGAAGTTTGAGAGGTATGAGGATGAGACCATTAATATTAACATCTTCAAAGCAATTTTCCCCAGACTTGATACACTTAAGACCTATGGAATTATAACTTCCCAATTCCCAGGAATCATAGCCAATAAGCAGCAATGAGTAAGAGAAAGAAGTTCTACTATGCATCATAGAGAATGCATTCAGATGCCTTCAGTGATCTGTTTGAATATGGATTCTTGCTAGAAAATACTGTTGGGCAGCAGTCTTTTTTCTTCAAAAGTCTTAAAGTCTACCATAAGCAGAGTCACAGAGTCAGCAAAAGAAGTACAGCTTATTTTCAAAGTTGTTTTTGTATGGATTCCTTGTCACTTGGATGACTTTGTATGTGCAATCGAAGGATGTGCAGCAGGAGAGTCACACACTACTGATAACCAGTTCTTCAAAAGCTTCATTTGGCTTTTTTGTGTTGCTTTGAGGCTGATGACATTCTGGCAACGTTGACTCTCCCAAGAATAATTTGTCTGTAATTTAAAGCACACTGACAGTGGTAACTTCTGAAATTGTTATAGAAGTGCCATCTAGGCTATTAAATTTTTTATAAAGCTTTGAAATGACATTCCTCTCATTTTTTTCCCCAAGTTAAAATGCCAGGAGTTGTTCTTTAAATTGCTCATATTGGATACCTTGCAATTTGTTGTTCTTTAAATTGCTCATATTGGATACCTTGCAATTGGCTTAGCAAATGAGAATTTTGTAATTGGGATGTCAGGATGATACAACCATCAAAACGATTATGCCATCATAATGCTTGAAGTCACAGTGTAATAATACACCCTTATGGGTATATCAGTTTTGTAATTTGAGATAATATTTAATGAAATTAACTGGTGGGCAAGCAGGGAGATATAACAATATGTCAGCTAGACCAGAAAATCAACATATCTGCATGACTTTTTAATCCTTTTATCCTCTTCAATCTTTTTCCCTCTTGATTTTTGATTAGTTGTGAGGCAACCAAGAGCCAAATCAATTTTCCCTTCAGTTATTTAAAATTAAACTGTTAATTTGAACAGAACACTCCAGATCAGAATGTAATGCATAAAACTTTTTGACAAATTACTCTTATAGTTATATTTTTACATCAGAATGGGGGATTGCAGGAGACTCCCTGAATTTATAAAAGAGAGTATTATTCTCAATACTATGTATTGATTTAGTATTTGTCACTTTTATGTTTATTTTATTGTATTTGTTTTGTTATATTGTAGGATGCTTAGAGCTGAGAAGTGAAGTGCCACACAAATTGCAGCATCCAACTAACTGAACAGGTTTTTTTGGAGTCCAGTAATCAAAGCAAAAAAGTAATGAAGACATGGAAGTAGCTGGGGCCATCATTCAGGGTTTAGTTAAGACCACAATTAAAGGTAAGACGAGTCCCTTTTTTAGTAGCCAAAGACCGTAATAAATATGTTTGGGGACCCTAAGGATAGCATCACACATGGGACCAATGCTGAGGTTGGGGTGGAAGATTAGGATTTTCTTTCCTTTTTTAAAATGATGTATCAATTTAGGGCTTATATTAGCATGCCCATCTCTTTCCAACTCAAAATGCTGGGAAACTACACTGGCAATTTTCAGAAATAAGGGCCAAAGAGATGATCCTGAGTATCGCAAAAAGAGGCCATTGGGACAGGATGGCCAACTATGGTTTATGGCTAGGTAACATTATGGTGTCAGCAGGGATGGGTTTCAAAATGTTTCTCTACTGGTTCAGAGAGCGTGATTCTATTCTATTCTATTCTATTCTATTCTATTCTATTCTATTCTATTCTATTCTATTCTATTCTATTCCATTCAATTCTATTACATTCCATTCCAATTTATTCTCTATTCTATTCTATTTTCTATTCAATTCTACTCTACTCTATTCTATTTTCTATTCCATTCCATTCTATTCCATTCTTTAGTCTATTCTATTTTCTATTCAATTCTATTTTCCACAGAAAGTATGGTAATCATTTTTAATCATATGGGTTTATGTTTTACCTTGGAAATACCTTGGAATTCAACTGGCCTTCATGGGCATCCAGGACAGGTCTGAGAAACATGGGTAAGCACAAAGAGTGTCATGACAATGAGGTTTCTTTCATCGATTTAGATAATTGCACAGCAATTAGCAGTGAGCAAAGTGAACCATCCATCTTAGAAAGCCACAGCAAGTGAAACCTTAATAACTGTCATGACGCTATAAATGTACTGCTCTTTTTTATGTACTTAGTACTTGCAATCTTGAATCTCCAAAATGTCTAACTCAGTAATGCAACTATTATTAAGTTGTTTAATAAAGAAGGAATTTAGGAAATGAGTACTGGGACAGCTGCAGCCCTGGCTGGATATTGGTTTTATGTGGGTTTTTCTTCTGTTGTCAACCAGATTTGTTATTTTGTTTTTCCTTTTTTCTTTTCCAGCTTGGCTGTGTTCTGTCTTATTTTGCTCCTATTTATCTTGCTTTTATTCTTTATATGTTTCATGTATTTGTATTATTTATTGATATTGTTAGGTGTCCCATCTTTCTGCAGTTGGTCTCAAATGAATAATTGAATGAATGAATCAATGGACATGCTAAATGCTGCAAGGCATTTAGTGGCAACATATTTCACTGTATATTCAGAACGATGTAAACAAGCATCTTACTCTTTGGAAAAGTTTTTTTAAAGCTATATAGTTGCTTTGGTTTCTGTATTAATAAATACAACACAACTGATTTGTATTTAATGCTGGACACTGTATTACACAACAAGGGATTTTGATAAATTTGTATCTGTGCCATGTTGTTAGAATATGCAAGAACAAAAACGGAATTGAAGTGAAGGATGAAGGTGAAGCATGAATGGACTTTGAACAAACAGCGAAAGAAAAGAAATCTATGGAAGGTCAGGAGATGATAGGTCTCAGGTTGAAATAATTCTTTATTTCTTTGACCTATAGAGCCACCCATCTCATATACACGAATCTAGCAAGCTCATAATAAAATAAATAAAATACATAAAATGCAAAATATAAACACAAAACAATTGTTTGGCCTCATCCAATCAATTATCAACACAGACAAGAGATATTATTTAATATAATATTTAAGTATTATGTCCTGGTCTTTCTAATTATGTGGTTGGAATACAAAGCTTCATCTTTCCTTAGGATATGATAACAATGACGCAATGTCTCCTTCTGGCTGCAGTCAGAATTTAGTATTTGTCAGAGCTATGGGACAAAGGGAAAATGCCAACTCTGGGTTAGCTGCCCAACTGGACTATATATATGCTATTTGAAACTGGGGCCAAGGGTCTGAGATACTCAAACCTGGCCGCGCCCATGCCTGGTTTAGCAAAGGGGAAAAAAGTCCCAATATGTCACATGACAATGCTGTGACGCCCCTGGTCTAGACAGTAAGTTCATTATTCCCTCTAAACTTTGAAGGATGTAGCCTAATTTTGGCTCTGCTACTTCTTGCTCCTAAGCCGCTGACTTTGCTTCCCTCCCTACAAATGTAACCTGAAAGCAAAAATGTTTAAAACTTTCTGACATGCCATCACATTTGCAGCAGTAAAAATGATATCAAAATTACATTTAATAATCAGACGTTACCATGCACATCCCCAAACACTCATTTGTTAAAGTGGCAAATGTTGACAGGAGAGTTTATTTGCAATTTTAAAAAGATGGCAATTCTCCTAAATTGGAACTGTGTGCCAGAAAAAGCATGAGATAATTAATTTTAGTTAAGATTTAGGAGCCTTGTTTTCCCATAAAAACAAAATATTGTCCTCTTTGAAATGTTTGAAATTGATAGGAACACCATAGTATATTTGTTCTGCCATAGATTTTTCACATCTGGCTAGCAAGGTTCTAGTTTCACCTGTGAGGCCAAATTTGAATTCCTGGTTAATAATGCCATAATTGGGTTTATGAATTATGCCATAATTTTACATGAAGGGAGGGGAGTCCAGATTTTTCACGACAAACAGAATACATGGTAACTATATAATAAAATATACAAGTATATGGAATGCATGTTTATACATTATAATTTGGTACATACAAACAACCAAAATCTTATACATTACAAAATTATCTCCTTGATATTTGATATCTCTTTAAGGTGCTTTCAGTGATGGAACGAAACATTTTTTAAATAAAAAAGCCATGTACTGAGCTTTGATTTTATGTTTGCTTTATTTTATTTATTAAATTTGTTTGCAGCCCATCTCACCTTGCAACCTTTCCTGTTTGCTTCCAGAAATGGCAATGGATAGGGATCCTATCTTACTCCCTAATTGTGTTTAATGAAGAATTACTGGATGTCTCGATTTTTCTGGACACATTCAGGATTGAAACATGACAGTTACCCAGTCCACTATGCAAAAGAAATATTGTGCGAATGTTGCAGACAGCCGACTCTGGAAGCTTCAAAGAGGGCTCCACTACCACTGCCTCTCTTAAAAATTGGCTGTGCGATCCATCTACTCACAGTATTGGAAACTGTTTAGTCAACTCGAATCTGATTTGATCTTTTCGGGATTAGGCTTTGGTTAATAAGCCTCGACTCCCACTCGCAGGAAGGCGGCACAGAGATGGCAAGCATGGCTAAATACCGCTCACCACCTGGAACCAAACCGGTGGCGATTAAAAAAACAAAAAAACAAAAATCCCCCACCAGCCAAAGCCTTTAATCAGCCTATATATATATGATTCCAAGAAGCTACCAGATCGCTTTGCCGCCGAGGTTTCCAAATCGACCAAGAGGGCGGTCCCGCTTCCCGTGCTCGGGCTACATGGTCCCGCCTCCCGGTCGCCTATGGGGGCGGGCATGCCCAGGTCTGGCTCGCTGGCTGCTGAAATCCCGCCCTGTGGGGGAGCGTCACTAGTCGGATTGAAATGCACACACGGCGGAGGAAGCATCCGCCCGCCCGCAGTTAACAGTCTGCAAAAGGTAGCGCGCGTGGGGGCTGCATGCGACCAGCGGCGTCGTGGGGTCGAGAGGGAAAAAACGCGCGATGTATCGGCCAGCTCTGACCAGGCTGCTGCTCTTGCATCTGCTCCTGATCAAGCTCCACAGCGCCAGAGGTGGGTACGGGCTGCGAAAAGGGGGAAGGACCGGGCGGCTCGGGCTTCGGAACTGCCGGGCAAGTGTGCGCGCCACGCGTTCGCCGGTGCCGGCTCGGTAGTGCGCGGCGGGGTTGGCGTTGCGCGATCCGCCCCGGTTGTGTTATCCAAGTAGGGGTGTGCATATGTGTGTAAACAGGCGAGACCAGAGCTATTGTGTGGCTTGGTGTCGCCTAGAGCCCCGCGTGTGTGGGAAGATCCATCCTAAACGTCCCGGAGTAATTGGTAGGGTGCCACACGGGGCTCCTGGAGAGAGTATCTTTAAGACAGACGGGTCTCACTTGCGACCACCATCCGTTACCAAAGCGGTTTTCATTCGCCATCTGCCCATTCATTCTTGGTTCCTCTTCTCCCGCCCCTGCCCCGGTTTAAATGCAACCAGGAATGAGAGGAATAAATGCGCGGCAGCTTGCCATCGTCTCCCTCCCCCCCCCACCCCTTTATACGAGCAATACCCGAATGTGTGGTAGTGTTCTTGGGGGGGAGGGGGAGGAAACGAGAGAGGGAAGAGAACCCGCATCTTTTCTGCGCCTTTCTTGGCTTGGAACGATCCTTTGTTGTCCACCTGCTCTTTGCCGAGCTCCTCCTCATCCAAGGATAGGGTCGGTCGCACCTCCCTAAAAGTAATCTGCCCAGGGAAGAACGGCGCGTTCTTTGAGAGGGGAACGGGAGGAGAAGAGACGCTTGCCTCGCAAATAGCCTTTTGTGCGTTTTGTGAGGAAAGCGAGAATCGTGGCCTAGCGCGTTTGAGGGTTGCCGGCTAAGAAAGGAACTGCGAGAGATCGGCGGGCTGCGCGCATGTGTGTGTGTATGTGCGTGCACGCGTTTTTTCCTCTTCTTTTCTTGCATCTTTGTTTTCCCGTGAAATTCGTAATGCCGTATCGGTTCTTCTCTCTCTCTCTCTCTCCTCTCGCAGGCTCCGGGAAGGAGTGCGAAGAGAACCAGTTTCAGTGCCGGAACGAGCGGTGCATCCCTTCCATTTGGAAATGTGACGAGGACGACGATTGCTTGGATAACAGTGACGAAGCAGACTGCCGTGAGTAGTAGTAGTAATGGGTGGCCCTTTCTCTTGCAGGCGGAGAGAGAGGGGCCGGGGACTAGGTTGCCGGGTTGAAGAGAAACGTAAAGACGGCGAAGCGGAGGGTGGGGGGGTTGGTTGGTTGTGGAAGCGGCCCTTGTGCAACTTGTTGTCCGGTGGGAGAAACGGGATGAAGTGCGCCTCCGGAGTGTTTTGCCAATGACAAATCCATATTATCCCAGTTTGTAGGAAGAACTGGGTTAGAATGTGTGTCAAAAGCGGCCCTTCCTGCCGAAAGAAGGCTTAGATATATATATATATAGCTCTACCCCTGTCAGTGTTTGTTAAAATCTAGTGGCGTTTCCGCGTTTCGTGCCGCGTTTCGAATAAGCAGCTGAAGAGGTTTTTTTTCCCCCTTTGCAAAAAAAAAGAAGAACGGGTAGAACAAATACCTGTTTCAAACTTCTGTGGCAGGCAGCCACTGTTTTTATGAATGGAAGTGCCTCTTCTGCCGGGAGTTTTGTGATTGGCTGCTGGAGAAATGCCAGATGAGTCACATGGTACCCGCTTTCCCATAAGAGAGGATGGTGGGGTTGAATGCTATTGGATGGTACCTACTTTGAGACAGTCTTCCTTCTTCCCCTTTAAAGCCATCCCTTCCTGTCCTTGGCTCAGGGGAGGGCAGTTGTGGAAAGTTGAGCTGGCAATCTAAATTTGCCCTCTTAAAACCATTTATTATTGCTAAGCCCTGGTGATAATTCTATTAGGATCAAGAATGATTAAGCGGTCTACTGAACAATGTCAACTCAGGTGGGCTCATTAAATTCAGTGGCATTTATTTCAGAATGCATACATTCACAACTGTCCTATTCAAATGCTTCCTGATCTATACTTGGAAATCCAAAGAGGGCAGCTTTATTTATTTATGCTGTTCAGGATAAATTATTTAATCATTTGGTCAACTTGTGATGGAATGTTGTTCTTTAAGGCAAACTTCTAAAGATTTTGAATAAATTGTGTTGCGGATGATAAGCTTTCTTGATTCACTCTTAGGCTGCTACAAAAGTTTTGCAATTGAGGTTTAGGAAGATGTCTTATGGTTGGACCTGGGATGAACTGAGTATTAATCTCCTGATAAAGGACTCTAAGCAATGATCCTTATTACTATTTTCTCCTCATATTCCTAAAAACAATACTGTGAAGCTGTAGACTTGAGAACAATTGTCCAAAGTCACAATGAGATCACGACTAGATGAGAAATTTGAACCTGGTGCTTTCAGGCATTTTTTGTACTATTACCTTACACATTTTTAGAATGCTGGTTGAATAGTTGTGTTACATAATAGTTGTCTTGACAAACAGCTGATTGTTGCTAAGTGTTTAAAAATGCATTGCTTGTTAATGGTAAAATATAGTTTATTGACCAGTGACAGAAAGTAACTTTTTTAAAATTGCGTTGCTTCAATCTGTAGAAGAAACTATAAAGGTTCCTGGTTTAAGGGTGAGGTTAAATTGTAAGGGTGAGGTTAAATTTCTCTGAAGATCAGTAGTAATCTAGATAAATAGTGAAATACTGTTGCAGTTTATGAGGTCCTCAGTAGTTGTTCCTGTCAATGGCAAAGGCTTAGCTACAGGGTGGAAGTAAATAATAGAAAAATGCCCGTTTGTGCTATTTATGCTTTGCTTCTCCTCTGCTGCTAGACACCTGGATAATCCTGGGCTATCTGAGGCTGGTCCTTGGAGTTGGAAAATAGGTGTGTACTACAGCAACTGTTGCTCACACAACTGGGTGTTCTCCAAATTTCAGATTCCCTGCAAATGGAAGGAAATACTAGTGCCACAGATTATTCCTTCCTGGTCTCACTGTCATAGAAGTTTATTGTGTAGAGGACACATTTGGAAGAGAAACAAAGCATTCCACTGTATCTGAAGTAGAAAACCCTGAATATTGGTGTGAGGGTAACATTTTTATGAGCTTCTAAGGTATAAACAGCTGTTGCAGTTCAGTTTCATTGGCATATGTAGTCATCCCTATGCAAACATTCTAGAATTTATCAGACTTGATTTTTTCAGGCTTACAAACACCCTCATTAAACAATTCAGAAGAAACTTTCAGTTTTCCTTGATTCTCAGCCTCTTTTTCTAATTTCTTGCTCTTCCCTGGAACAAACTGGATGTGCCTGATGAAGCATAATAAAATTTAAATTACCCATTTAGTTTGCTCCACCACAATTTCACGCTGAGCTACGGGTGAATGTGTGTTGATTGGGAAAAAACGGTAAAAACTGGTGGGACGAGAAAGGAATTCGCCTTGTCTTTTGGTTTTAAAAGCCATTTCCCTGCCATCATTTTATACAGGATGCGTATACAGGATACATACCGAATCTTTGCAACCCCCCCTTAAACAATCTTTTGGTTCATAAAAAGGACAGTCCTTTCAAAACATGCCATACTTAAATGGTATTTTCCAACTAGGAAAAAACACTTTTAATGATAATAAACTTCTTAAGTTTGATCTCTATATCTAATGAAATATCTATATCTTTGAATATTGCTTCTCTTCATTCCCACTAAAGTTATTTTTGTCTCCTTTTCCATGTTTGTATGCCTAAAGCTGCTGATTGAAGTTACCGTACTTGTGGCTGCATTACACGGATGATTTATGTCAGGCGTAAAGGCAGAATATGCGTGCTAAAATAGGCCTAGGCAGGGTGCAAAAAATGTACAGAAATCATCTAAGGTCTACTATCTGCTCAACTGTTAGATTGTTATATGGTTTAAAAAAAAAACTTGACGTATGTAGGGTGTACGACTTCAACCTCCAGAATTCCCCAGGTAGCATGCTGGCTGAGGAATTCTGAGAGCTGAAGTCCACAAATTTGAAAAATACTGCTCTAGAATGAGGAGACGTGTGTGTGCACGCGCGCGCTCAAACATTTCAGTTTGCACTCTTTTTTAGTTTTAAAGAAGACTATTTGGTAAAATGTGGAAGTTAACTCCCTTCAAAATGGATTCTGGCCCATCACTTGTAGACTGGCCCCAGTTTTCTGTAGCTTTTGGATTGATTGAAGGGTGCCCTGATCTAGGAGAACTGGAAACAAATCATTACTTTTGTTTTCTATTTCAATTAGATACATAAAATGAATTGATATTTTACGAATAAACTATAAATTACTGTGGAGAAGGCAAACTTTTTTTCCCTAGCAACTTTATAATTGCTGCTATTTATACTTCATTGCTTAGGGGCAAGCCAGAAGCAAACACACTCAGAATCTTAAACCGCTTCAAAAACTTTAAATGTTCACTTGCTACATTATCTTTATTTCCAGAAATAACAGCCTGGATCGGTTTATAAAATAAATTACCCCTTGTAGGCATAGCTAAATAAACGTTTCCTAATTTAAAAAAGGAAGCAGTATATTTAAGAGGCATAATGAACAATTTTTTTTTTCCCCTGTGGCGGAGCTTGGATTAGCTGGTTGTACTTGCTGTCCTTCTTCAAAGCAGCCTTTGAACAGTGTCTTCTTGTTCCCGAATTTCCCACTTCCGGCCTGTCCCAGCGCTTGCCTGACAGCTTTAAGAGGCTCTTTTCAGTAGCTACCTATAAGTCAGGCCTCAGCAGTTTTGCTCATCTATGCATGATAGATAAGATTTGTCTATTAAAGATACCGTCCTCTCTGGTTTAGTCAATTGTGGAACAATCCCAAAAGATTTGAAGATAATTCTATACATTGTTGAGCCTAATGTAGGGAAATTGAGGCTAAAATTATGATTTCCTGATGGAAAGGATATTTGTCAAAAAGTTGGTGTTTCTGTAACACGGGAATGTGCAGCTTTTTTAATGGTGATCTGCACTTCACAAGGGAGTGATTTGTTGAAGACCACATGCCAAATGGATGTGTGACCAGAACAAATGGGTGCCGTATGACTAAGACAAAAATGAAATGTGATACGGTTTTATTTGCAGCTAAATTAAATGCACTGAGTGGGCACTCCCTAATATGTTTAATCAGTTCCTGTTTACATCTCCTTAAAAATGATCATCTGATGACACATTTTTGGAGGGGCATGTGGATCACACTCAAATGTTTTGAGGGATAGTGTGAAATACTGGAGTCTTATTTTCGTACTTCGGAAAGATCAGATACGAGTTTCTGTAAAGCTATTCAGTGACAAGATTCTATAAAAGGATATCCTTGGTTTTGACCCACTGGTTCTTCTGATGCCATATGGTCAAGAAACTTTTTTTTTTCTTCTAGAGTGAAATGTGTGGAGAAGCTAATATAGAAGACTTAGAATGATAAATAAAATAAGTAATGACATGTAAGATGAGCATGAATATAATTGAAGTCCATGAAGAGAGAGATATCTGGGGCCAAATTACTTTCCTAAAAGATCTTTTTTTTTTCTTTATGTCTTGTGTGTTGTGTGTTTATGTTTTTGGGAGAATTAATAAAACCTTGCAGAAATATAGAATGAGAATAATGGTAACCAAGTCAGAAAGAAATAGATGAAATAATAATAATGAAATTGAATAAGAGTAAAGAGAAGTGAAGAGAAACTGGATAAGAGGTTTTTGTATGCTTATATGGAAATGGTTTAAAATAGAATTATAGGTTTTATCTGACTTGTTAAATTTATAATGGAAAAAGGTTTAAGTATGTAATGGTTAATGATGATTTGTTTGTTTTTGAAAAATTAATAAAACTTGTTTTTTATTTTTAAAAAAAAAAGAAACTTTTTTTCTTCCACCACCTCTTTTTTCCTTGGATGGAGCGGGAGGAAGGAAAGAAAGACAAAACCTGAAGGGAAGCACACCCAATTATGCCACCAATTATTGTTAGCTATGCTTTGTTAGACATGAATACAGTGATGTTCTGACATTCTTGATGCTTATATAAATGTAATAATTTCAGCTCCTGCATTGAATTAATGCACAGTTCTGCTTTCCTCTGTGCAGCAAGCAATTTAAAGAACAGAGACCTGAAACCAATTCAGTTTAATAATCTTTATCCAAT